ATGTAGCGTAGTAACGATCACTTGGCACAATTCATTCTTATATTTCAATATTCGTCGGTAAAATATTTTAGTTTACAGCATACAAAATTCTGATAAATTAAATTACTAGTCTGACTAAAGTTATAATAGAACATTAATCTAAATTCATAGGATTAGATGTAGTATCAATGTACCCATCCATAAAAAGATGCATGTTTTTTTGAAGCGTTGAATAAAGAAATAGAAGAATATGAAATAGATTTAATGAAATATGTGTTTTAAAAATAATTATCTTGAAAACGAACAAGATTAGAATATGTAGAGAGATTGTATGAATATGGGCAGCATTATTCGACCGAAATTAAAAAAATAAAATATATTACACACGTTATGTCGATGACGTAATAATATTTATAATAGGAATATAACAGAAGGTAATAATATATTAGAAAAAGTTCATAAAATAAATTGTACTATCATATTTGCATTAGAAAAAGAAGAATAAAATGAAATAAAACAGGCGTAATACATGTGGGGGTTAGATGAGTCAAACACTTAAATTGTTAACAAAATAAACGAAGCGTTGCCGAAGAGACAAGAATGAACAGGAAAAGGAGAGGACAGTTTTAGAAGGCGTGAGGAAAACTGAATTATTATTATTAGTAGTAGTTATTATCATTATAATATTTATTTTTAAGGATAAAAACTTTTTAAAAATTATGAGTTGATTAATTTGCTTGCATTTTTCGTAAAAACCATTCTGTTAGTTCACGCTGAGCCTATTCATAATTTGAAAACCTTTATAAAGTCGGACGAAACTATGCATTTACCATTAATTACAACTATAGAGTTAACTTTTGTATAACTTAAGATATAACGTATAAAGTGTTGCATGCTTTAATGTATTGTCAATAATTATTTCTTAAATTATTATGTTATTAGATATCACCAGATGACCCGAAGGTCATAAGACGTAAATGTTATATAGTCGGAATAGTTTTTTCCGCTTCCGATTCTTTCAGAGGACAAATGAGAACTCACACCGGAGTGCGGCCATATTCATGCAATATTCGCAACGAATCATTTACATTGAAAACTCAATTGAAGAAGAGACACCAGAAAAGTTTCATCCGGAAAACAAAACACAGACGAGCTTTAAAGTAAGTTTACAACATTTTTTTAGGAATGAATTTTTAACAAATATTCAATTAATACTATAAAAAGACATTATAAAGTTCAGTGGCGTAGTGTTGGTGTCAGCCGCCCCCTTATTTAGGTATCTCAATTTACAAGACTAAAATTCAGTTTCGTCAGAAAATAGCGAGGTTGCGGCCGAAGTTTTCATCTGTAAAACGTGAACGTCGAACGTCGAGCGCCGTTTACAAGAAGCTGCGCTCGACGTTCGACGTTCACGTTTTACAGATGAAAACTTCGGCCGCAACCTCTCTAATAAGTAATGAAAAATTCNTATTAAAATTATATACATACTTTTCGCCGTCCAGCGCCACGCTACGGAGAGTCTAGGCGAGCTATCGTCTGTACAGTATGTAAATTAGGTACCGTAAGTCTAATACTGTACTGTAATTTTATACATTTCTTGTGAAAGAAACATTACTTATTCAACGGCCATAAAAATTATTTACATTAATGATGTCTCCAAAGTTCAATGAAGTTTTCGCAGAAAAATAACTTATAAAAAATCAGCCGCGGTTTGGTTCATTCGACATCGCCATTGCTCAAGCTTGTTTTCGTCGCGGAGCAGCGCGACGAAAACAAGCTTGAGCAATGGCGATGTCGAATGGTTCACACTCCGTAAGTAATCCTACAATTTTTTGTTTATAGCGTAGTTTATACGGATTATTTCCAAAAAATATACGTATTTTTGAAATGTTGAGTTGGATTAGTGTAGAATCGATTAATTTTATGGAAGAAAACCTTTCAAACAGCCGTAGTCCGTAAAGTGCATATGTGTCGGGCTGTGATTGGCTGTCATTCCTACTAAATTGATTCATAAAGAACGGAAAGTATCTACCGTCTTATAGGGGAATCGACTGTATTTTCAATTAAAATTAAATAACCAAAAAAATTGAGTGTTGAGATGACTATCATAAAACAATATGAATATTAACAAGTGAAATTTTCATTGCTGAACCCATGCCACACATAACACAACTCTACATGTCTCCATTTCCTTGATTTTTCACAACGAAAATTTATTAGCATTAATGTGTTTCATAAAGAAGACACCGTATCAAATTTGTTTACTCAAGCTTTATTCCATCCAAGGATAAGAAACAAAATAGTAGCAATACATACAAACTTGTATTTTTTTACTTTTTTCGGTTCGAGAAATTTCAAGTGGTGAAGATTTGCAAAATACTCGGAGTGTCAACTTTGACACGATTCCGGTATTTTTCCTTGTTATGTATACATAAATGCCAGGAAAACGATGAAAATACGGTCTTTAAAAAAATACGTCTTCCAACTCAAGAATTTTGGGTGATCTCTAAAGATCACCCACGAATTCTTGGGACTGAAGATGCGTCACTTAAAAAGCAACTAAATACGATAAAAAAATTCTTCGGCAAAAATTGTATAAAAAATACAAAATAATAAATTAGTTTCATGGTGTACGTACAAAAAGACATTTTTGTACGTACACCATGAAACTAAATTCCATGGCGTAATATACGTGGTTAGAATTTTCAAAAAGAAAAAGACAAAGTGAGAACACACTTTTATGTATTGACTACTATAACAATTTTCTTAAATTTTGTAAATATTAACTTATTATTGTTCTGACAATTTTTATGGAAAAATGATGAAATAAATACAGTACTCAGTATTTTTTATATAATGGTTACAGAAGAAAAACTGTTGTTTGTATTATTTTTAATTATGTACTCCTTTCAAATTGCATTAATGCTAAATTTCTTATGTACAAAAATATGTATGTATGTAAAAAGACATCTTCAACTAACGTCTTAACGCAATATTAGATGTAGTTAATAAAAAAATACATATTTTGTTAAAAGATTTATTAAAAATATTAAAATATAAAGAATATTTATTTATATTTAAAGAAATGTTTAAAAAGGTTATTTAAAAAACTATATAAAGATTATTTGTTATCGCTTATACCTACGTTCGTAAGTGACGTCATAAAGAATATTCTTCAGATTTCGTACTTTTACAAACATACCTTGTCATTTTCCATATGATCAATATTTATTATACATGAAATAAACAAACTTTCTCTTATATAATCATATATATCACGATGCTCTTAAAATATTTCACTATATTATGGTAAAAGTCAATTATCTAAATGCACTAAAGTGGGCGATGCAGTGCATTTTATGTAATTGGCTTTTACTCAAATGATTGCATTCTTATCGACTCACCTAGACACTAGGGCTGCCACTATATTCCTGAAACTAACAGAAACGTTTAGCTAACGGTCCGTAGCTTTCACAGTGCTGCAAACTTAACGTGAATTATACTATAGATACGAATGCAGGAATAATAGTTAACAATTATTGTATAAATAACTAACATAGTCGAAATAACAAAGTAATTATACTTCCTAGCAGTTTTAGTTTTACTTAATTAATATAATACATTATCAATTTACTATACTTATCTATTTTGAACACTGTTGATATATTTCTGACTTTGAAATTTACTCATGACTAGGGTTTCTCATTTCCCGGTCTTTTGCTTTTCCCGGGATCCCGGGATAAAAGTGAACTGTTTCCCGGGATCCCGGGAAATCCCGGGATAGAATTAATTATTTTTAAGGTATACAAAATATCTTGAAATCAAATGATATAATTATTTTCCATTTTTTAAAGTNGGTATTAGGAATGGGTTGACCTAACCATTTGCCAGGGCTATCGAGAGTTTATGGGTTCAGGAGTAGAACGAGCCCCTTTTGTCTCTTAGCGGGCTTCTTTAGTCATTTCTTTTTTAACAAATAATATAAGGTACGTAGAATGTTTACTTTTTTATTTTAAAAAGTCGTGGATTTTATTTTCCGTTTGAAAAAATAATGTTAATTTTGTATGGAAATGAATTACTACGAGTTCCTAAGTTTTTTCCTGGCCGGAAAAATTCTCAGGTCTTTCCCTCTCGACAGCTCTGCCCTTTGACATCTGCGAAAACATTAATCCGCAAGTAACAGTCCTGCGTAAAACAAGACCCTACTGTAAATCATACATTCGCCGCTGATATCGTAATGTTGTTCCTAACGTTTCTCTTTATTGTATAAAATTGAATAACGTTTTACTGTGTAATAGTTAATGTGAACTATTGCGATATCAATCTTATAATCATCGGAATTAAGGAATTGTTCCTTTAATTCAGACGGTTATGAGAGATTGACAGAATCATCGAAGATATTTCTGGATAAAAACAGTATGAAAATGATTTAAATGACAATTTATCACTGTTGAATTCAGAAATTTTCTGAAAAAGAGAAGAGTACAAATAGCTCGATAAAATACGCACTGTACAGATCCGAATAAAAAATCCGAATTGAGACCGATATAGCCGAGAGTATTCTTGAATAATAGTCGAGCGTGACGCATATCATAAACGTTTAGTAGGATACATAACAGGTAAACAAGCACAAGGATATTTTTCAACTATAAATTTTTTGAAACATGTTTGAACAATATGGTATATAGTTACGAAATTTTGTTTTCAAATGATAGTGTTATTTTAATCGTTCAAACAGGCCAATAAATTTCTACAGTTAGAAAACTTAATCTTGAGAATATGTCTCAGATCAGTCGACATACTATGTAAACGACAGCTCATATCACACACTACCAGTTCTGGTAACGTTGAATATATGACGAAATATTTTATTTTATAAATTTGATGACAATCCTCAGTTACATATAACTGAATTCGTGATTATCGCTGTTCATTAAACATTACTTGTATTTTAATAAATAAGCGAAAATATTGTTATAAATTTTATTTTTGTGAGTTTCATGATGAATTTCTTCTTCCAGATGATTATCTTACTCTTAAAGCCAATCTTCTATCTACGGTAGGAGTACGAGATGGCGTCGAGCTTCACTTTCCCATTGGAGTAGCTGTAAATCATAATAACGACACCATTATATGTGATACTGGGCATCATATAATATGGATTGTAAATGGAGACGGAAAACTCAAACAGAAAATTCAGCAAAAGAAAAAAGGTAAAGAATGAATTATTGTTGAATGCGATTATTTTTCTAACATCACATTACGTGGATCGTAGTTTCCGAAATTATGTAGAAAGTGTTTCAGATCTAATTCCATAATCTGTACACTAGATAACGTGATGCTGAAAAATTGAAGTGTAGAATTTATGTAATTGTAGAAATTCTTCCTGTAGTACTTCTAAATTATTACTCTCGCGTTTATAATTTATTTATTTTTTTCAAACTTTGAAGAACAGATATAAATTACGATATTATATCAGAACGTGTTCTATGATAAGCTAATTATTGATATATTCATAATCAAAAATGTAAATGTTCCTATGAATGCAATTCATTTTAAATTCTTCGTGTTTTTTTATCTTACAGGAGAACATTTCTTCAGGCCTTCAGCAGTAGTAGTTATGGAAGATGATAGTTTTGTCATAAAGGATAGTATAGGACTTCATTTATATAATAAAGATGGCATTTTTATAAGAAGTATTGGCGAAACAGTACTCCATAGGCCTTTTGGTAAAATAATTTCTTATTTATGCTTACCAAACATAATGCATTATCGCAGTATCTTTAGGTTACAGAGAAGAAACAAAATTCCTGTAAATGAGGTCTTCAAAATTTAATTAAAAATATTAGCAATAAAAATAAATTTTAATGAAGGCGAAATGCAAGAAAGTGGCAAAACGTATTCGAATATGATTGTTTTTTGTCAGAATTTTGATCATTTAGTGAAACGTTTTTGAAACGAGCGAAATATTAAATATATTACGATTAATTATAAAAATATAGATGTTTCACGAAAATGTTGCCGATTGTTAACTTTTAGAAATTATATAGTCAACTAAGATTTGTTTCAATATTTTATTTATTAAATATTACAGACGTTTTTATTAAGTTTGTTTCGTTATTCATTAATTTACAGGTCTTGCAATTACAGAAGACCAGAAGTTGATAACATTAAACGAGACACGGAAATCTGATCTCTTTGTTTTCAACAAAGATGGCGGTGTAGAAAACCGTAATTTATACGAACCATTAATTAAGCGACATGAAAAATCGAAATGTCGATTTTTGGCGTATTACTCTAATGAAGTCGTCGTATCTGATTTAGGTAGGAAGAAATAATACAGAGAATATTTATCGAGATTTTATCTAAATTACTGAATTTTCAGGTTTAAGTATGATGTATAAAACTACTGTGGATGGTAAATTGATCAAAACCTTCGGCACTTTTGGAAATATTGAGGGAACCATGAACGAACCATCTGGCATCGCTTTGGATCCGACAGGAACCATGCTTATTGGCGATAGCAGAAACGATCGTATACAGGTAAGTTATAATTAAATAAACACGATTAACGCAACAGAAACTTTAAACGAATTAACATTACAGGTCTTTGATTGGGAAGGTGAATATATGGGTAAAGTGACTTTCTCTCATCCCATTCGAAGACCGTCTGACATAACTTTGACTAAAGATGGACGTCTGTACGTTCTTAATTACTTGAATCATCACTTAGCAATTTATGCTCTTAAAATAGAGTAATTTTCAAATCTGTTCTTCACAGATTAATCATTGTGAATTTTAAGTATTGAACATATTAAATTGAATTCATACTGTTTATCAGATTTTGAATTCTTTTTCATATTGTATTCTTTAAGTTTCTTACAATGTAATGTACATGTATTGCATTTAATTTCATAAATTAAAACATCTAAATACTTTATTTTAGATTTTCATTTGGTGTAATTACCTTGGCTTTTTAACATACATAATATATGTTAAAAACTACATAATTTCCAAAACATTTCGTTCAAGTGGATGATGGCTAAAAGTATGATGAAGATAACAGCTTTTTTCCTGAAATCTACACAAAGCTTTTTTTACTGGCTAGTTTTAAAAAAGTTGAAATATTTTTCAGGCATGGAACCGTAATATAAAGTGTCTTTCGAAAGAATTTACACCGTTAAAAACTATAGAAATGAGCGTGAATGTAAATTTTTTAAAAGGCTTGTAACTTAATCAAATATTTCGTCTCTATTTTTTCGGTTGAAAATGTATGAAAATTCGAATTTGGCATACGAAAAGTTGTGAAGACCACCATTTCCCCCCAGTGGCGTGCCGTGATATTTAATAAGAGGGAAGCTGTGTTTTTGTAAGAAGCCGACTTCCAGAGGCAATCAGTCAGTGATGGTCTAGGGTCCATTCGTATTCGTTTATTCGTGTCTTCTGTGAGCTTTACTAAAATTATTTAAATCGTCAAAGCCGTTCTTATTCCACACACTAATTTCATTTGAAATTAATAGGCAAGGCCAACAAAACGAATTTTGCATTTCTATGCATCCACAAACCATTTTATATCTTCATAAATTTTATTGTGAAAATGTCGAACAAATTTTTTTGTTGACGTATTTATATTTAATTTAGGCATTGGTCTTTCTCTTTTAATAATGTTTTCTTTTTTATTATATAGTCTCGAGCCAAAACTTTTTTAAAATAAATTTTCAATATTACAATTACATTCTAAATCGCTAGCCATAATAAAAGGCCTAAAATTAAAAATAAAATTATAAAAACTTGTTAAAATAAAATGTGTGATGGATATACTATTATACATACCTGGTAAAAAATATTCAATTGTATGAATATACTTTTAAAGAAAATTATAATTAAATATAGCTTTGTAAAGAAACGTACATAAAAACTACATAAAATATTCTTTACTTTTTAAATCTTAACCACTTAATCAAATAGCTCCCTACGAGTAGAATCAGAGACGGTCCTGCTAGGTGAGCGGAACCAGAGAAAGCTCAGTTAGAGAGTTAGACAGGGAGAGACAGAAAAGGGGGACGAGACAGAGAGATAGAAAAGAATGCAAGAGAAAGAACGAACGAGCACCAGACCAGACGAGTATCAGAGCGAGAGTAGCTCAAGAGAAGACGAGCAAGCATCAATAATAGACTAAGAGTGAGAGTGAAACAGGATCAAGAGACTGACCGACTGTCTGAACAGACGAGATAAGACATCTTGTTTACCTGGTATGTTGTGAGTCGCATAAGTTCGAATACCCTCCGTTAGGCACCCCTTCGTTATATAGTTAGAGATAGGCAAATTTCAAAAAATCGGATTTTATAATTCTGTTCTAAACTTCAGTTTTGTGTTAATAAATTTCCTTAAATTGGTTATATCTGACTCTGCATTCTTCCTCCTGAGAGGCTCATTCCTGGACTTCAGAGTGGCTCTTACCCTCGCGCCTTAATCATTTATTTCGTTTCAATCGGCGGTGTGTCCGATAAAACACACCTGGTGGCAGGACCCTACCTAATAAATCTTTACGGTCCCCGAACCCCACAAAGTGATTTAAGGTTATCGAAGGATCATTCGCAGCATTGTCTAAGTTTATAAATCGCATTTTCGCGTGGCTCCGTGTCCAGGTAGCTGTCACAATCAAAATTTCCAAAATGTCAAAGAATGAAATATCATTTACTACCGATCTACTCAATTCGGAAAAATTAAAATCAATGTCAATTTTTCCGATTAGAAATTGCAGATGGTATTATACACAATATATATATATATATACGTAGAAGAATACTAAAATGTTTTCATTTCCGTCTTTTTCCATCACCAGGAACCAAACAGTGTTTACAGAGACGATATAGCATGATATATAATCGATATTTTCTGAAGATAAAATTAATACGATAGTTATTTTAAACTTTTTATCATTTAGAGCTTATAAAAATTTACGTATCGAACTAAATAATAAAGATTTTCCCTTTTCGTTATTTTTCCTTGTTTCTTCTGAATGTAACGCATATATTCAATACTAGCAGACCCCGCCACGCGTTGTTGTGGCTCAACATGAATCTACAGTAGAACCTCGATTATCCGATCCAATTGGGAAATGGGATTGGTCGGATAATTGAAAAGTCAGATAACCGAAAAGTATGAAAAAATCCATTATTACTGCAGTATATTATTATATCCCACGTAATTAGTATATTAGTATATCGCTATTAACCTACTTCGCATTGAATTTTCATCGATGTTAAGCCTAACAAAAATTTTTTAAAATAATAATCGTCGCTATTGTATCGTTAAAAATTAGAAAATTAAGCCTCGTTTAAATACTGGCTCCCTTTCACGGTCGAATGAGTGTTGTCAGCTAAAACACGTAAAAATAATATTAATGTAGCCAAGACATAGCCAAATATTGTTGCGCCACATCACTAGCGGACATTTGAAATTTGCCAATTAGGGCGGTCGGTTAACCGAGGTGTCGGTTAATCGGGGGTCGGATAATCGAGGCTCTACTATATAACTATATGATTAATATTAATCTCAGATTATTTGAAATGAATTGCGTGTAACAAAAAATTAATCGAATTCATTTTGACGGTAGAAAAATATAATCAGCGAAAAGTCACCGAAATTACAACACGCTGCATCCCGACTGCTGTGTAATTGTAAGTGTCTGGATACAATCTGTTATACTCCTTCAAAATTTCGCGATTATTTCGTGTCTCCGTCGTCAAAATTGCTTCAATGATTTTTTTCGTATTTATCGGCATTCTTTTTTCTGTAATAGATTAAACATTATTAATAATTAAAATGATGTTCTTAGAATAAAATCTTGCAACAAAGACACAGGAGAGAACTAATTACGGTATTATTGAGTTCAAATCATGCGCATTTAATTACTTTCGAACAACAATAAAATTATAAATTATTATTTTTCTGCATTGTTGTTTTCATTCTCCGAAATTTATAAATTCAATTTAAATAACTAAATTCACAGCATTTACTGTTTAAATTAAATTAATTAACCTCAGAAATGGTAAGTAAAACCTTTATTTTGTCAAACACTTTCAATTTGGCAATGTTTTACAACAATTTTCGACAGGATACCTTCAATCTTAATTTCGTATCGTGCCTAGAGTACATATTACAGATATTAGCATAATATTTCAATGCGTGATAATTATTTGTATTACCATAATTAATTTAGATTTAAGTTTTAACTAATTATTTATTTTTACTCAACGTAATTTTTTAAAAGGACGGAAAACATCAATGCCCAACTTGCGGTAGAACATTTTCGACAAAACAAAATTTAAAGAGACACATGCGGACTCACACAGATGAGAAGCCGTTTAAATGCAATATCTGCGAACGTCATTTTTCGGATAAAACCAATTTAAGACGGCATTTGCTATCGCATTCGGATGAAACACCATTCAAGTGCAATTACACAGGTTGTGGATGGAGCTTTAAATGGAAAAATAATTTAGAACGACACGTGTACAGAAAGCATCCTCAAGAGATTTTATCTAAAGTAAATATTACGACAAGTTCTTATAAAGTAGAAACATCATAAACGTCTTCTTTATTGTTTACGGTGTTATTAAATTATTTCATGTTGTTATTTTGTTAATAATACGAATAATGTTATTAAGATTGAATTCAGCTTAGAGTCGATAAGACTTGTACGATTGTGCGTAATTGCTAATATCAATAATAATATTACTGAGCAACAGCTTGCAAGCTGTATTTTTATAAAATAATTTCCTATATACATAGTTTAATAAAATTCGGACATTACAATGAAATAAATCGTGAAAATCGATTAACGACATTTTAAATAAATAATTGACATGAAGTATTTGCATTTAAAGAGGTACGTTTCGTGTGTTATATATTGTAAATATTTAATTGAAAACTCAATGAATGATTAGATTCCAGCAGATGACCCGAAGATACAAAGCCGTATATGTCACATTTGCAAAAAACCTTATGAAAATTTATATAATTTAAAAATCCACTTGAGAACCCACAACAGAGAACGGCCATTTACTTGTAATTTCTGCAACAGTACATTCCTGTACAAACATAATTTAAACAGACACATCAGAAATTTCCATGCAGGAGAGGAAAGTCCATCTTGCTCCCAGGTAAGTTTATAAATGTGTTGATGAGTGAACTCACTACTGACTATTAGAATGAAATAATATCAATAACTTCACTTATTTAACCATCATCCATTGTTTCAATATTTATTAATCGCATATATTATACACACGTGTAATTGTTTAATTCGATAATCCGAGTAAATAAGTTTCTTCGTAATTAACAGGATAATTCCTGGTTAAAAATATAGAACCATTCTGAATTCTTAGTCTAATAACAGCCATTAATACGCACAGACTGAGCATTTTTTCTATGAACTATGAGTCATTCGATAATTGGTCTGTATCGTAATGTTTCTGTGTCATTTCTTGGATCTAAGACGAGAGATTATAATTAATTCTTCAAATTTGAAATTAGTGAATACAATTTACTTCAGAAATTCGATGTTTTTATTGACAAAACTTCATTTGTACTAAAATAATTTAAACAAGAGCCATTTACTTTCGTTGTGGTATCATCGTCTTTGTGTTAGCGTGTGTGTTTACCATGAAAATAACGTTAGTTAATTCTTTCTCACTCAGGACCACGCTTTTATTTGTAAGGAAATAATGAATACTCAACATAATACTGTGGATTCAAACTTATGGGACACTCTTTGTACAGTAGAGCCTCGATTATCCGACTCAATTGGGGACTAGAATTGGTCGGATAATTGAAAAGTCGGATAACCGAAAAGTATGAAAAAATCCATTATTAGTGTAGTATATTATTATATCCCATGTAATTAGTATATTAGTATATCGCTATTAACCTACTTAGCGTTGAATTTTCATCGATGTTAAGCCTAACAAAAATTTTTNAGCACAATTATTCCAGATATTACAGGTTCCGACAAGTAAAGAATTTTTATAGTCCTGCCACAAATAAGCTATATATTGATTATTGACCATTTGTGACATGCTATAACGAGCAAAAAATTAAAAAAAAACTAATAGGTAGGTTTAAAATTAATAAATACAAATGTATTCTGACAGTGAATGAGTTAATTATGCTTTCTATTTGCAAAATTCCTCAACCTTAACACAAAATAAGAAAAAAAGTGAATTTTTAAGAAATTTGCGGGATTTCCCGGGATAAGAAAAATTTCCCGGGATATTTCCCGGGTTAAAAAAACAACCGGGATCCCGGTTGTTTTTTTAACCCAACCGGGATTTTTAAAACAACCGGGATTCCCGGATCCCGGGATCCGGGATCCCGGAAATCCCGTTTGAGAAATCCTACTCATGACCGACGTTCGTAGATACGAAATATGTGTTAGTTGTTTGTTGCAGTCGCACCTGCTCACAGCACTAATTTACGGATGGAACTTTTTCGATCCATGCTACTGTCGACTGTTTCATTTGAAACAAAAATTATTGCAAAAGTTCTTATGCTTTGTAGAATTTGTAAATTCGCAATTTTTTTTTCTTATTGCTTCTTATGACAATACTGTCGATTGCAGAAAACACACCTTGCTTCGGTTGGTATTCAATGGTATATTATAACATCTTCGTNAAATAATAATCGTCGCTATTGTATCGTTAAAAATTAGAAAATTAAGCCTCGTTTAAATACTGGCTCCCTTTCATGGTCGAATGAGTGCTGCCAGCTAAAACACGTAAAAATAATATTAAAGTAGCCAAGACATAGCCAAATATTGTAGTGCGGACATTTGAAATTTGCCGACTAGGACGGTCGGTTAAGCGAGGTGTCGGTTAATCGGGGGTCGGATAATCGAGGCTCTACTGTATATACAACTCCTTACTAACACCTAAAATTAATAGGTTTGCTTATATTAAGTCAATGTGTGGCCTTACAAATTAAAGGCTATTGTTAGATAATTTGTTCCCCATTTAGGATAAATATGTAATAGTGTGGGCAACGAAACATTTATTATAAACAAGAAGAAGCTTACAATAATTGTTCGAAATGACATGAAAAACGTCTGTACGTCGGCATATGTATTATATTCCTTGACGTACTCCGGGGTAAGGAACGCTTCTGAAAGATTTGGGTGGTCTTAGCCGAGAAGCTGGATAACACGGAAACAAAATAAAAAGTTAGAACTTGCGCTATCTTCAAGCAGTTACGGAAGAAGGCAGCTCGACAGTGTACATGAAAACAATTGTGGGAAAAATCTCAAGCGTCCTCGGGTCCACAGTTTAAATAGGATTTTAGCGGATTAAGTAGTTGCGATTTGTTTAGATTTTTCTGCTTCGCTTCGCAATTAATCACCACTGTGTTTCCCGGTGTTTGCTTGTTTGTTAAGTTACTGAAACGCAACACTTGGAATGTGCGTAGGTAGGATGCCTTCCGAGAAGTCTTTTTAAGTGTATCTGTCTATTATCAGGCGTTACAAACATGCAGAAAACCCAAAAAACGACAGATGGCCAGCCCATCCAGTGTACAGGAAACGGAACCGCTTGTCCACTGATGGGTCGTTTCAGGGTATAACAATACTTAGAATATAAGGCGAGAAATTCGATCGTTCGGATACAATTTGTCCCGGAATTGTTTATTGATTCTTTCCCTCTTTCCTGTTTTACGTATTCTGGCTGTTGTGTGCACATAACAGGGGAGAGTTTGAGAATCTTGTCAAATTTGACTTCACGACATTTGAGATCTCTACGTTTTGACGTCCATTGAACACAAAAAAAAAGTGAAAAAGTGTGTGCGTAGAAAAGTTGTCTGTGTTTGTGTTGATGTCCATTTCGTATAAAAGGCATTATAGGTATCAGTTTTTTTAAATAAAACGTCTTGGAGCTCCCTCCAACACCTTTTATCACAAAAAGGTCTAGGAGGGAACTTCAAGACGTTTTATCACCAAAGAGAAAGAGGATAATCTAGCGTGAAGTTGGGTTTAATAAAGATTTTAGTTATTTTTAGCATTTACAGATCTTTATAAAACTCATCTCTACTATTAAGTTCTTTGTTGTTTTATAATAATTAAAAATATACAAATTATTTATTACAAAATCTCGTAATAGGTGACACCATATAAAATTTTATGTATTTATTATGATTAATAATTAAATAGATAAATTTAGAATAAAATCTTATAAAAGTCGGAAAGTTAGGCAACTCTTGCTATAATTTATAAAGCCATTGTGTTCTCATAATTTGAAATTCAAGAATTTATCGATTCTGTTTCCTGCGTTTTTCCTTCCATTCAAATTATTTATCAAAAGTTTACTCCATGATTGGGTCTTTGTGAGAAGAAACTTATGAAATTCGTCAAATTATATAAAAAATAGAGAAGTTTCCGTTGTTATTATGTAGGGGAGATCGGGGCAACTTCGGCATGCGGGGCAAGTTTGTCAAGCGCTTTTTTAAAAAAACAAATTAAAAGGAGACTTTGGTTATAGGTTAGGCAGTTGAGTTTTATTGGTGGCTTGTTGAGTGTAGTGTTTTTATTGTTCTCCAACAAGCGTAGTTGAATTATCAAGCAAATTTTCATTTTCGTTCAATTCCATATAATATTTTTTTTCCATTTATATTGAATTGGCAGGTTTTGTTATAATTCCATGATAACGAAAGTTACTTTTCCTGTTAGAAGGATGTAACTTCAACTTATTCACGTGGCCAGATCGTGGCTTGGCATTCTGTTCTCAGGGTTGTACTTAATGTTTCGAAATCATGACTAGCGGGGTAAGATCGGCAACATAAAGCCACATTAGAAGCAAAGGATAAAAATCAAACAGATGATAAATGAAAACATGTTTGCATTTGTTATTCATGTATATATGTCTTTGAACTTGCATTTCGTTGTAATAATATTAAATGGGTGTTGGATTTGTATTTCTTTGTTTTAATAGTGAATTCCAACTTATACATTGTTAATAACATAATTTTATATACGTGCCTATCTTGCCCCATTACTGTTGCCCCTATACCAGGGGCAACTTTAATAAAAATAATTAAAATAATTACAACTTTACAAAAAGAGAGAAGTTGCCGATCTTGCCCCTATACCCGGGGCAACTTCGTCAATTTCTCTCTTCTTGTAAAGTTGTAATTATTTTAATTATTTTTATTTCCAAACTGATTTTAACCAGTTCTATAGTAAGGTAACATTCCAATAGACAATATGCAAAGCTTTTTTTTCAGTTTACAGCAGTATTTATTACACAAAATTTAAGTAAAGCTTAACATGCCGATCTTGCCCCGATCTCCCCTATATTAAGATGTCGAAATAAACTAAATACATCAGTAAACTTAAAAACTCAAGTATTTTCACTTAAAATTACGGTGAAAAGTGTCTCGGATGAAAATAAACTTGCAACATAATTTAAATGATTAAAATGAACTAATGTAATAAATTATAGTACATTAAAAAGCACTTTTAAACATTTTTTACATAGTTTTATTAACCAAATGTATATAATTATGAAATTTTAAACGAAATTAATCGGGACCACCTGCCTTAGGACTTTCATATCTAACTCCGTTCTAGAAATTATGCAATGAATGACGGACGAATGGACAGCGGATGTCATTGGGAATTTACAGGTCTATAGTTTTTTCAAATTGCAGCCAAATATTTTCGCGATTGAGTAACAAAGTACAGTACTATCATACCCATTTCTTGAATAGCCCAAAATATGTAATGATAAATTACGATGATAGCAACAGACACTCAGCAGCTGCAGTGAATAATGTTTTATTTATACACATTCAGGAATGTAAAATCATTACAATGTTTTGTATTACACACGCAAATATTTTTTGAAAACTACTAAAAATCTATAGAGAATATATGGTGAATCTTATCGAATATATTTACAGGATGTAAAAGACGATATTAAAGACGATATAAGTGAGAGGAAAAGAAAAGAATTTGATCCCTGCTTTAGTGCCGCGATCGATTCCGACGAAGAACGAAAACAACGAGAAGAAATCATTTTTGGAATGACAAGTGACACATCACACGAAACTGACGACATCTACGAAGACACTACGTTCGGAACAGATGTGGTACCATCGACATCTTTCGATCTGTTCCCAGAAGTAAGAATCGATCGATATGAATTGGAATGTGTCTTGTGTCAAGTTAAATTTGACGACGAACTTTCTCTGCAAGAACACATAAAAAAGTATCATTAAGAACCATTTTCAATGTAAAAACATTGAAATATTTATTATTTTTACGATTGTTTCTTTGAAATTTATTCTATTTTGATTCGTTTGGTCGTAAAGATTTTAAATATATGTTTGAAATTTTAATTTTAGTGACAAAATCACACGCGTAATTTAATGTTCAAAATTGTAGTGATTTAAAACAAACATAAATCAGTAATAAATTTTCAATAATTCTCATAAAGTTTAGAAGTTTTTTTATTGATAATTACCAAAAATGTAATCTAATTCAGAATTATATGGAGATTATAGAAAAATAATATATAAACTTTACATAACACAGATTAAGTGCATAAACACATTAATTTTTCAACGTTATAAAATCAGAGAACATTTATTCACAATATTAGAACTCTGAGGTTAGCTTCAATCTGTCAATTAGTAATGTCGAGACCTCTAATCTAAACGCAAAAAAAATTTGCTAATAACAGAGTTTTAATATGCTAGAACAGCGCGATAGAACGGGGTCACACATAAAATGTAGGTGTTTGGTACACAGATAAACTTGTCTTATATGTGTACCAAACACCTACATTTTATGTGTCTTGTCCTAGTGTTTTGAGAAAGAGAGATCCTTACACAATCATAACAATGGTTGCTAAACTTGGCGACTGCCCACGAATTGGGCGTCTAAACTTAAGTGGGAAAGTCGAGTAGCACGTTGGCTCTGTCGTAGAGATGCACAAGCACACATTTCCATGATCTACAGACAAGTCAGCCGTAAATAGCATACTGCAACAGAATAGAATTATAACCTATTAATTTGCTCATGAATCGGGATGCTTTTACTACTTCAGATACTACTCTTTTTTGGTTTACAGGATAACTTACTTTACTAGCGTTATTGGTCTGGTGTGGGACCGGGATAAACCGCTGTAATATTCCTGAATGTGAAATTTATAGTTTAAAGTATTACAACGTACAATTCGGTTTTTACTTCAGATATTATTGGATTGCGATTATTACCTACATAATAAAATATGTACTGTACATAAAATTTGTTAAATTATTTAATATAAATTTTTATATAATGAAGCTATTACAATGTCACAACTATACACTTGACATATTTATATTCATGATAAATAAATAATATACAGGCTGAAGATGTCTTTCTTTTATATAGTAAATGTTTACATTACATTTTATACAGTATTCTAAAAGTGTATAAGTATTAAAAAAAAGTATAAATCTGATTTTTTACTGCCATTGCTTCCTTTTAACATTTACTTCTACATCTTGTATATTTAAATTTTACTGTACAATTTTTATGAATATTTCTGGGTTGACTTGTTTTGTGTTTTAATCGGGGATAGTAATCACACGCTTTTCAACATTATTAAGATAAACATCAATAAATATATAAACACAGTCTTTGATGTTAACAGACTTTGAGTTAATCGCGTAAAAATAATCAATTATTTACGTAGTTTAATACGTATACTCGTTAAAGATTGCTGTGCATTATTCTGCTTTGGCTTTTAGAATAGAATTCTTATATTTATTCATTGACATTTTTCATATAATCCAGTCTTTTGTCGTATCTATACTTCATGATATTACGTAGATCATCCCATTAAAATATTTTCTAGCAAATATCTGAAATATTTGGTTTAAAATATTTCAAGTATTTTAAAAATTGCAAATATTAAAAAGTTGTGATGAATACTTTTTAACTTTCTACGATTTTTAAGTTTTTTTTTTATTATTATAATTAAAAATTATGAAAAAAATAGATTAATTTCGTTTATATCATTAAGTACGAAAATTTTCTGTCTGTGCCAATAACAACACAAGTTTATTAACGTATAAGTAGCTGTTCTCTTTCAGTCTGGACGTTCTCCATCTTTGATGCCTTCCATTTTTTTTTCAGGACGAAATTTCAGTAATAACGAATAATTTGTATGTTTTTCTAATATTTGTTTTGTTGAAAATTGTAAAGCCGAACAGAGATAGAGAAATTTTCGGGGCTGATTTTGTTGACGTATTAATATTGTATTATAACATGAATATAGGCCTAATAGAAGATAATAATATATTAGAAAAAATGAATAAAATAAATAATAATATAACATTTGAATCAGAAAAAGAAGAAAAATGAAATAAAACGGATGTAATATACGCGGGGTTACATTAGTAAAATAGCTAAACTGTTAATAAAATAAACGAGGGTTGCCCAGGAGACAAGGGTAAAGGCGTGAGATGGCCTGAAGATTGTTACGAACATCGGAATATTATTGTCCTTTTTATTATTGTTTATAAAATTTTAGGGATTTTGAACAAAATTCGCACCAGAATTTTTAGAAGGGCAATAGAAGGATCCAGACAAGATGGCGGAGTTAGAGGTGAACGACAATATGACTGACCGTTGAATCTAAGGATAATACGACGACGGATGTGAAACATCTGAAGGGTGCTGATCTGAAAATCGAACTAAAAAGATTGAAAACAACGAGTAGCCGCTTCTTAAACATATACTTTTTTTAAATATATATCTTTTATTTGAAATAAAAATTCAATGGTATGAAATTATAATAAAAAGGTTTATTTAGAAAAAAAAACATGTAATATAAAATTAACAATCAAGTAGTACAGTACAAAGAGTGTAAATGAAAATGTACAATACCAGTACGACGTTTAAAACTGTTAATTGGAGGCATTTTTAATGCTATTACAAAAAATGAGTTATTGCACAATCAAATAAACAGTTTTTATCCGGTAAAAACCAAACATAAGTAACATCGACTACACTGAAATCACAAGAAAGTTTTTTCTTTATTTTCAGTTCTGCGAATTTTTATTAACTCTTTTAAGTATACTTAATCGGCAATTTCGGGCTCAATTCAAATATTCTTGCCTTTTAGGATTTCGCAAAATATTTTACTATTGAATACGCTGCTAGGAGTTGGCGGTCGTACAGGTACTGTACGTACTATATTTTACCTGTGGTTTAATTAGGTCTTCAGAGAAGAAGGCCAGAGGTACGAGGACAGAATTATATTTTTGTTAAAGAGCAGCTTCTATTGCGAAGTCTTACTCACCCACGATCAGTATCATTGAAACATCAGATGAACGATAAGCAAAAAGAGTATTTCACGTTATCCTAAAGACATTTATAAAGACACCGACAACGCAATACATCTGGAAGAATAGGTAACTCGCAATCTGTTCCTAGAAATAAGAATCGATCAATATGAGGTGTCTTGTGTAAATTGAAGTTTGATGACGAAGTTTCTGTGCAAGAATACACAAAAAAGTATCATTAACGAACAGTTTCTTTAATGTTGAAAGTATTTAAATACCACTTCATTTATTATTATCTTTGTTGAGTTCTTTCGACTTTGCTCTTTGCATAAATTAAAAGAATTTAAATAAGATTTTGTCATTTTAATTTTGTTGATTTTCATTAAATCATAGAAACTGATTTCATATAAAATCATTTATTTTTCATTTTTCAAATATTACGTACATAAAAAAATTTAGAAACAAATTCTTTGCTGGAATAACTTTAAATAGAACGTCTACAGTAATTAAAAACAATAAATCCAAAACTCGTTTGCTACTTGAAGAGAGTAAAAAGCCAAAATGCTTAAAATATAATTTTAAAAGTACTTTTTATTATACATTTGAAAACATGAGGAACAATATGAATGTACAGAGAAAATATCTGAAATCAGCCAAAAGTCATTTGAGAAAACAGGAATAAAACACAAATATATTTCTATGTTTCCAACTATTCTTCTGTTTAGATCATGCGCATCTAATTACTCTCGGACAACAATAAAATTCTATAACATTATTTCAGTGCATTGTTGTTTTATATTCAATTGAAAAAACTAAATTTAGAACATTTATTATTTAAACTAAATTAATTAAAATCTGAAATGGTAAGTAAAACGTTTACTTTGTGAAACAATTTTAATTTGTTTTTGAAAAATTACTGACAGAACACCTTCAATCTTAATCACGTATTGTGTCTAGAGTACATATTATATATTTTATCATATTTTAATATCTGATAATCATTTATATTATTATAAATAATTTACATTTAAATTTTTAGTAATTACTTATTTTTACCTAATGGAAATTTTTAAAAGGAAAGAAAACATCAATGCCCGGATTCACAAAAAATGAGAAACCGTTTAAATGCGAATTCTGCGGAAGACGTTTTACATGGAACAGCAATTTAACGCGGCATCTGAAATTGCATTCGAAGGAAAAGCCTTTCAAGTGCAATTGCAATGGCTGTAAATGGAGCTTTAAACGGGAAGATGAATTAGAACGACACCAGTTCTCATGGCATGGTGAAGAGATTTTATCTAAAGTAAACATTACGATAAGTTTTTATATTTTCATTTTAATATTTCGATTCCCAAAGCGATCAGTTATAAAAAAAAACAACCACAATAAAAGCTAATAGAATTATACAGAACACTTAATTTATTTTGTAAACAATATTCAATGTTACTTTGCTAATTTACAAAAACATGTGAGCCGCCAGGGAGGTCGGAAACCGTCGACTCTCCCTTTTCGGCAACAGGTCGTTAAACTTACTCACGTGTCATGATGGCTAAATTTCGAATGCGGTCCCGAAGGGTTGGGATGCTTTTTGTCAGGTCGAGTGGAGGAGGTGAGAGGGGTCGTCGACGTGGCGTAGGCGATATACGAGTAGACAACACCATTTAACAATGAGAAGAACAATTTATTAGACTAACGAAAAGGAAAAAAAATTAAAAAATACAAAAATCTAACATCAGGGAAGTGAATTTAGTTCACTAGCTCCTAACTCGCGGAGAGAGAGTTTACATTGATTTGTTTCATACCTCTAGGTTACTTCCACGTAGGCACAGAGTTCGACGCACAAATTTAAAGGTAAAGTTCCCGGAGACTTAATCCTTTTAGATCGTAGATGTGAGACGCCCCCGAGGAGGGGGAAAGAAGTCGCTTTTATAGCTTCGGACTGGGAAAATCAGTCATGTGATCACCTATTGTGAGAGGTAGGGTTGGTCCTGCAGGTGTGGAGGTTAAAGTTGTTCCCGGGACCCAAAACAAAATAACGAATTCGGACTTTAACTATAAACTCTTTTGTTTTGCAGCAGAGGAATAACATTGTTCGAGGGTTGAATGTTTATATTAATTAAGTAACTCATTACTGGATTTCTCTAACAGTAGTTAACTTTAAATAATTTATATCCATATAATGATACGCTTCACGTATTTGGAATGTCTGATACCCGTAAGAATGCTGCATAACGTCCACATATTAGAGAAATTGCGGCCGACGTGAAAACGTATACGTCGGACGTTCAGCGGCGCTTTCCTGTGAGCCTAGAAGTTTGACAATGATGTTTGGATAGTCAGTGGAGTCATGCTCGACATTCCAGACACCATTGCCAAACTTCCAAGCCTTTAGGAGAGCGGCGCCGAACGTCCGACGTACAAGTTTTCGCGTTTAAAACTTCGGCCTTAACCTCGCTATTATAACCGATTGAAAAGGCCCGTATGGTCGAAATGAATTCTGGCTTACTAATAATAGTATAAGTGTTAGACAAGTTGTGGGAAGTACGTAGAGAAGAATCGAAGAATAAGAACTCGTGAACTTGCAACAAAAGTGTTAATATTTAAAATTAATGCCGCGTTCGAGATTAAACAAGTCTTCATAAGTAAGCACTGTCTTGATTGGTTGAAAGCAAACACGTGTAGAAAATAGCAGAAAGTCAAATGAAGAATACCTGGAAAGTATTAACCAAAATTTACAATGGTATCCTGGGTGTCACGCTCAGAAAAACCAAACAGCTATGGGACTGTTACAAAAACTTTTAAAGAAAATAGCCATAAAAGAACAGTCACAAAAAACAGTTTGTTACCTTCCACACATAAACAGTTTATTATGCACAATTTACAGTGTTTGGATTGTGTATTGTATTAAAACATGTTATTTTTAATTTAGTTTATCCACTTCTCAAAAATGGTAAATAATGATAGTTGATATGCTAGTATTCTGCAAACAATTGTAAATGTTCTGGAGCTTTAACTGACAGTTAAAAAAGTTCAAAGGATAAGCATTTTCCACGGGGAATATAAAGTCTTACCCTCAATTATAGTCGACCCCCTATAATTATGATTCCTATATAACTGCGAAAAAATTGTGACGGTATCCGTAAAAAAAGGTAAAAAAAACTCCTATAATTACGTAAAACGTTATGGGGCAGCCGAACTACTTTTCCGCCGTCCATAGGCCACGCTACGGAGAGATTTCTATCGTCTGGATAGTATTAGGGGAGATCGGGGCAACTTCGGCATGCGGGGCAAGTTTGTCAAGCGCTTTTTTAAAAAAACAAATTAAAAGGAGACTTTGGTTATAGGTTAGGCAGTTGAGTTTTATTGGTGGCTTGTTGAGTGTAGTGTTTTTATTGTTCTCCAACAAGCGTAGTTGAATTATCAAGCAAATTTTCATTTTCGTTCAATTCCATATAATATTTTT